TCGGTAATTATAGCTATCTTTTCTAGTATTAGTAGGCCTTCTATAATTGCCTAAGCTTCTTTAATATTCTAAACTTTAATACTATTAATCTATAGGCTTTTAATAATACTATAGCTTATAAGAATTAGCTATTATATTTTACTAACTTGAGAAATTTATTCTTTAGCTATTTTATTATTCTTAATAGGTTATAAAGATATTATTAGTATAATAGTTATAGGTTATAAAATTAAAGGTTCTTGAAATTATAAGGATTTCTTTTAAGTATATTTCAAAATAAAAAGTAAATTAAAATAGTCTTAAATTATATAAATATATTATATATATTCGAGTTTTTCTTTTTTCCTAATAAGAAAATAAAGCTAAAATAGTAGTATATATAATAGAGAAAATAGGTATAATAATTAAGTATATTTAAGGTAATATAGTTACGAATTAGAAATAATTATAAAAGATAAAATATAAAGTTAGGCTTTTATTATAGAAAAGAATATAAATATATATACCTAAGGAAATATAATTAAGGAAATAATTAAGGCAGGTTAAACTAAATAGTAATAATAGGGAAATAAGAAAGTAATATAATAGAAATATAAATATAGTAATAGTATTTGAAATATTGGAATATAAAAGGAAATAATAAAAATTTTATAATATAGATATATCCCGATTCTTTATTTATTTAGAGACATTCCTATTAACTCAAAAAATAGTATAAAAGAAGGGAAATAATATAGGAAATATATAAAAGGTAAGATATATAAGTATACTAAAGATATTAGGGAAAATATAAAGTAAGTATTAATAGAAAAAGAATTAGAATAATAGGATTAAAAAATAATTCAGAATAAGGTATTACTTTTTCCGAAACTAATTTATATCTCTTCCGAAAACTAATTATATTTATTTAGTACTTATTAGAATCGACTTTAAATAGTATAAAACTATTTAGTTATTTGGGACTTTAAAGTAATATTTATATTAATAAAGATAATACTAAAGGTATTAGAGTATATAGAAAAGAGGACTATAAAATAGTATAAATAGGGTTTATAATATTATTATTAAGTTTGGAATAGTTAATATTAAAGTTAATATAAAATATAGAAAGATTAGATATTTCGAATTAGTATTAAGAATATAGGAATTATTTAGATAATATTTAATAGTAAGAATTAGTGAATTATACTAGCTTTTCAAAAAAGTAATTGGTTTCTAGTAATGAAATAATATTATAATTAGAGAATGGATTTTATACTAGAGAAGTTCTCTATAGAAATAGAAATATATAATATACTAACTAAGCCTTAGTATATACTTTTAAAGTAGTTATAATATATACCTTAAATATAGCTATAATTATATTAAAGAAGAAGTGGGTTTTCTAATATAAGATAGGTTTTAAATAGGCAGATTTGGTTTATTTAATATCTAAGAGATTCCCAGAATTATATATTATTAAGCTTCTTTAGAAATATTTATTAGGTTTAATAAGGTTTCCCTTTTCTTTTATAGAGCTTCTAGTTTATCTATTCTATCTATATATAACTCCTAATTAGGAAGTTTATTTAGATATTATAAGGAAAATTATAATAGTAGTTTAAGTTAAAGTCGAGATCTATAGATATTATAGTTAAGCTTTAGACTAGTATAAGCTATAAGAATAGCTAGTTAAAAAGGCAAATAAAGCCTTTAAAAGATTTCTAGTTTAGTAAGATATATATAAAAGACCTTTTTTTTTTTTTTCTTTCCCTAATTTCAAATATAGTTATTATCTATTACTATAATTCGGAGTCAAAAGTCCTTAAGATAACCTCTTAATTCCCTATTTATTTTTATACTAAAAGGAATTCTTTATATTTAATTCCTAAGATCTAGTAATAGAATTTCATATATTAAGAATACTATCTAGTAGTAGTAATTAGATAATAGTAAGAAATAAGTAATAATAAAGCTTATTTAATTTCTAGAATAATAATCTAATAATAATACTTTCTAAAGGTTATAAATATTAGTTAGAAAGAAAAAACAAAAGATATATAAAGAATTAAAGGTAATAAGCTTTATTTCAGGTTAAGAAAAGTTCCTATTATTAGATACTTCTTCCTAGTTTTTTATAAAGAAAATATACTTTACTTTCTCTAATTCCGGTAATTCTAGAATATATATAATAATACTAGTAGCTTTCTCGATCTTCTAAATATTATTTTGCTTATAGTATTCTATAACTACTTCCTTTTTTAGTTCTATATCTGTTTTGAAATATTTATTTATAGGTATATATTTATTATTAACTTTATTTTTGGGAAAACACTAGAATCTATTCCTTTTAATAAATTATTTAAGTTAATTCCCGGTATATATTTTTTGAAGTATAGTACTATTAAGTTTTTCTAGTATATAGTATTCTTTTAGTTAATTTATATACCTTATTCTATACGGGCCAAGCTAGTAGTATAGTAGCTTTATATTTCTTAACTTGTCTTAATTTATTAATTTAATATTATATATAAGAACCAGATTCTTTCTAGAAATAGACTTTATATAAATCTAGTAAATAGTATTAAATTACTTTTTTCCCTCTTAGTATTATCTATCTTTCTTTATTCTAGCTTCTTTAATATCTTTATTTCTTATTTATATTTATTTTATATATATTTCCAGAAGTATTTCTCTATTATAAACTTTGTCTTACCCAAGTATTTTCTAGGTTAGAAAGCGTATTTCTATAGGTAGTATAGCTTTCCTGCTATAAACTATATAAAAGGAAATAAATCCAGTTAGTCTATATATAGTAATTTAGTTAGTAAATAGAATATATAGTAATAAATCTACCTAAGGATTCTTTTTATCTATTATAAGTATAATAAGTATTTAAATAATTAGTTAATATCTTTTTTTAATTATACTATTTCCTTTAAAATTATAGGCCAAAATAATAATTCTATTAATCCCTAGCTTATTAAGTTCCTGAATTACTACTTTTTTAAATTCTAATCTGCTATTTACCTTAAGTTATCTAAATAAATTATACCTATAAATAATTTCTTCCCAAATAAACTTGGTAATTTTCTTACTAGTTAGGTTCTTTAAAGGTCTAGCTTTAACCTATCCTGAGAAGTTATCTCTAGTAATAACTAATAAGTTATATCCTTTATAGTCTAGTAGTTTAATTATATTAATCCCAAGGTAATAGAAAAGGAATATAGCTTTTATTAGATATAAAGCTTTTTCTTGTTTTTTTTACTCTTATACTAATAGACCTTATAGGTATTAATATATTTCTATATATAGTTATAGTAACCTTTCTAGTAATAGTAGCTAGCTACTAAGTAAAAGGTACTTTCTTTTCTGGTATATCTAATCTTATTATATAGCTCTTTAATAATAATTTCCCTTTACTCTTAATTATTAATAATAAGTTAAGATAGGTATAGTTTGGATATAATTCTCTATAGTAATTAATCTCTTATACTATAATTTAAAGCTTCTTTACTTAGCTTTCGAAACTTGGCTCTAGATATTTCTTCCGGTCTAGAAAGTATTATAAGATATTATATAATATTCTGGTATTATTTAGAATAGCTATTATTTAAGGGATTTAGTAAAATAGTCGGGCTATTAAGTAAAGTATATAAGTTAGTATTATTATTCATTATTTTGCCAGAGGTTATATATAAAAGGCTATAGCCTTTATTATATAACTTCCGGATTTTATTATTTTTTAATATTATTAATTCGCTTTCAGATATAGTAAGGCTTTAATTATTAATCTCTAATAACTAAATACTATTATCCAAATATCTAGTAAAGGTCTTAGAAGTCTAATTCCTTAAAATAATATTATATAACTAAACCGGAACTATTTTTTTTAACTAGATTTTTCGTTTAATAGGTACTATTCTAATAGTATTAAGCTCTATTACTAATTATTTATTAATATTCTTATTATTTTTAGTATTATTTTCTTACTATAGATATCTCAATAATCTATTAGTAATAGTATACTTAGTTCTCTTAATATATTTAATTTTAAAGTCGAATAGTTGAATTTATACTAGCTAGCAAATAACTAGAGCTCTAAGAAGATCCGTAGCTACTTTGCTTAGCTATATAATAAGCGTATTAGTATCTAGTTTAAGAATAAAGTAAACTTCATATAGCCAGAATCATACTTTCTATAGATATTTTACTAGCCCTTAGTATTTTCTCTTAATAATATTATATCTCTATTTAGTATTATTCCAGATTTTAGACTTATATTATATAACTTTCTTTTTCCCTTTATTATTATATTAATTAAGAGTCCCGCTCTATTTATCTAAGCTAGTATTTACTACTAATATAATTATTCCCTAATTTTCTAATAAATTATAGTATAATTTATAGAGTATTAAAATAGTAATAAGCTTTTCTTAAAGAATTTATATAGCTAGTACTTATTTATTACCCTAGTCCTATATTATATCTTTTCTTATTAGGTAATAAATGGGTTTAGTAATAATTATAAAGCCTTTAATCTAAATATAATAATAAATAATAATTCTAATAAATGCCTTACTTTTAGTTATATTATTATAATATATCTATTTTAAGATCTTAGTAATTCCTGAACTTAAAGGGCTTCTTCTAAGTACTTTATAGATAAAACTAATAATAATTATACTATTATAATAGAACTATAATTTTTCTCTAATACTAGCTCTAGCTTATTTAATTTTATTTAAGGTTATATCCAGGTTTTAAAAGTATTCAAATATAAAACGCCGAATTCCAGGTAAAATAAGCTGCCTATTATAGTCTATATAAGGTCCCTTAATTCTAATATTATTAATAAATAGTATAGTAATTTTGGGAAATAGATTTTCTAGAATAGTTATAATAACCTATATAAATTATATAACGGAATTAGTAGCTTCCTAAGGTAGTATAGTTATTCTTAATAGCCCTAGAGGCATTATAAATATAGTTAAATCTCTACTATAAGTATCTAGTATAAGTTAATTATATCTAGAAAAGAAATTAATTAGAGAAATATAAGTATACCTAGCAAATTCCTTTAAAATCTTATTAGTAAACAGGAGTAGGTTAGTATCCCGTAAGGTTACTAAATTCATCTTTATAGTAGTATTAATTAGTCTATAAGTTCTAGTAACCTTCTTTATAACTAAGAACTATAGGTTTCGGTAAAATCTATTATATTTCTTAAGGATTCTATAATCTAGGTATTCTAATAGTATTTTTACTATTACTAGTACTAAAGCTTTAGGATACGGAAAGTTCTTTTCTTACTAGGCTTTATACTTAATAGCCTTAATTAGAATAGGAGAGCTAATATTCTTATAGACTTTTCTTATTTCTTTCTAATTAAATATAATAGTATTTTCTTAATTAATTATTAATTCTCGGAATATAGCTAGTTTCTTTTCTTAGAGCTAGTTACTAATATCTAATTATTTAAGATATTCCAAAGTAAGTTATAAATCTTTTGGAATAGCTAATATTCTTAGTAAAAGATAATTCTTATATTTCCTAGTATATTCCTATAGGTATTCTTTAGCTTTAGATTTCTTAAACTAGTCCGGATATTTACTAAAGCCTTTTCTAGTTCTATTATTAGTATTTACTAGTTAAATTTTCTTATTCTTTATTTTATATATTTCTATAACTAGAAATAAACTATAATTTTTTTTTTTTTTTAAGAGCTATAGCTATTTTCTCTAGTATTCTTTTTATCTAATTTCCGGAGTTTATAACCTTCTTACTTAGCTTTTTTCTAGTTAGGTATAAAGAATATCTTTTTGTCTAGTATTTTAATATACTTTCCTTAAGCTCCTATATATTTTAGAATTCTTTCTAGTCTTAAGTTTAATATTTCTTAGTTTCGGGAATATATTTCTTTATTATTAGGAGATATTACTTTATTTCTTCTTTAGAAATATTTTCGCTTAATACTCTTTTTGCTTCTTTTTCTATTAATTCCGGAACTACTCTTAATAATACTCTAATTAGAGCCTTTTCTACTTTAGTTTCTCTAAAAATATTATTAATTTCCTAAACTCCTAAACCTAAAATAAAAGAATCTATAGGAAATTCCGGTATCTTCCTATTTCCCCTAATATTATTACCGGTTATAATACCAGGCTCTATTTTTTCTTTTTACTTTTAGTTTCCTATTTCATATTACTTAATTTCTTAATTCTAGGAACTTAATATTCTTAAACTACTATTTTTTTCTGCTTTCCGGTATTTTTTAAAGGTAAAATAATTATAATAATATAGGTATTCTAGTTATTTTTAGGGTTAGTAAATCTTCTATTCTATAAACTATTACTTTTATATATAATTTTTATTTTTATTTTTACTAAGAATAATTAACTAAGCAGGATTTTTGGAGCTTCTTTAACTAGGAAAAATATATCTTTATATTTTATTCTATTTATAATCTTAGCTCTAAGCTTTACTATTCCTATAAATCCAAATTCTGCCCTAGTAATAGTAGATATTTAATAATCTATAGTATTATATATTGCTTTACTAATATTTCTAGAGATCTTTTTAAAGAGAATATTAATTTTAGTTCTAGTATTAATTATTCTTTTATATTTAATATTTCTTTAAGGTCTTTAAAGTATAAATTAGAGATATAGAGATTATATAATATATTTATAAGCTAGTAATATCCGAATATTAATACTATTATCTTTAAATTAAATAATTCTATTAGTATTAGGTATCTAAGCTAGTATTTCTAGTTTCTTAAATATTCTATCTATTATATAAGCTATAGCTACTAGCTCTATAGATTTTCTAGTATATTTAATTATATTTAATATAATAGTATTTCCTATTTATAAGATAGTAAAATAAGAAGTATTATTTTTAATTTATTAGTTCTAAAATATAGTAGCTAGATCTAGTATTTTTAAAGTATTAATAAGTATTCTTATTTCTTTCTAAGTTCTCGGAAATAGGATAATTACTTTCTTTAGTAATCTTATTAGAATATTATTAACTTCGGAAGTTCTATACTTATTATAGTTAAGTATATACTAGGTTCCTAATTTGTCTTATTTATTCCCGGAATTATTAATATTTATATCCTTAGCTAGACTATTTCCTTATTTATTACTTCTTAAAATAGTATTCTTCTGGCCTTTTATATAAAATAGCTTTTCTTCTATTCTGGCTTATTTTTAGAAAACCTCTTTAGCTATTTCTATTTCTTTTTTTTCTCTTTTTAATAAAGAACCTATTATAGTATTAATAGAAATACTATTTATAGCCAAATCTTAGTATTATTTATTAATTCCAGAACCTGAAATATTAGTAATTCTAATATAATTTCCTCTAAGGTAAAGCAGCTATTTAGATTTCCTAAATATAACTTGCTTGCTTCTATATATAAATTCCGGTTAGCTAGTTTCTTTTTTTCTTTCTTACCTAGTAAACTAGGTATTTCCCGTTAATCTCTAGATATTTTTGGGCCAAGTATTTAAATTATAATTAAATTCTTTTCCTTTAACTTAGGAAATAATTTAATTAAACTACTAGTACTTACTAGTAAGGAAGAAAGAAATACTTTCTTATCCAGGCTTAAAAGGCCCTTTATATTATCTTTTATTAAATTAGTAAGTATATTTATAATTTATAAGTTCTTTTATTAGTAAGTAATAGAACTAAGAGATATAGATATATTCTGGGTTAATATTATTATCCTTATTCCTATTATAGTATTTATAGTAAATTCGTTTTCTTAGTTCTAGGTTTATATTATAGGCTATATTAACTTGAGTAGTATTTTCTAATTATACTTGAGATTAATTTCCTCTAGAATATAATTATCTAAATTCTTTACCTAATCTAGCTTAACTATTATAGCTATTATAGTATTTTCTATATCCTTTATTATAAACTCTAGTATATTTTTCCCGAAAACCCGAATTATACTTACTAGGCTACTAATACTATTATACTAGCTATATTTATTATAGTTAACTAGGTTATATAAATAGGCTACAAATATTCTCTCGAATTATAATAGTAGCTATATTAAGTTATTTCTATAGGTCTTCTTAAGTTATAGTAATAATAGATAGTTTTTCTAAACTTCTTATTAGCTAGTTAATATTATTTCTTTTAGATTTACTATTTTTAGTAGGCTTTATATAATTAGCTATAGACTAGGTTCTTTTCTTACTTATACCTATAATAGCTTTAGGAAGTATAATAGGAGGAACTAGTAAAGAATAATTATTTTCTGGTTTGGGAACTATATTATAAACTACTATATCTAAATATTCTTATCTAAGTCTAGATATATCTAAGTTATTAGTAATATTAAAATAGTATTTCTTCTCTTTATACTAATAGAATATTACTGCCTTCTTATATATTTTACTATATTTATAAGTAGAAATATCTATAGGCTCGAAGTTTATATCCTTAAAAATATAATTTCTTACTAGAATAAATAATTCTTTTATAAATTCTTAGTACTAAGTAATTTCATTTATTTCTTTTCTCTTTATTAAATATATTAATATAAGACTTGAATGAGATTTCTTTATTCTAGGCTTATATAATAATCTAATTAAGAAAGTTATAGCTAATTTTAAGTATTTCCTAGTTATATTTTCGGAATTCCTTTAGTAAGGCCTTAAAGAACTTGGTCTTCTAGTAATTTCCTGAATTATTAGTATAATACTCCGGTATAGCCTTAATCTAATTCTTATAAATAGGCGAGATATAATAGATAATTCTCTCTCTTTTAGTATTATTAGAAATATAATAGTTTTTATATATATTCATATATTATTTCAAGAATATAGAGATATTACTTCCCTAAAACCATAGTATTTTAGAAGCTCTTATAAGCGGCAGGTTTAAACCCGGTACTAGTATATACTTATTCTTAGCTATATTAATCTTAATAACTTCTTCTATAGCTAATTATAGAGTTTCTATACCTGAGACTTCTATTAATAATATTTCTAAAGAACTAATTTCTCGTTTAAGTATATCTTTTAATTTAGGAACCGGAATTAGGGAAAAACCAGTTAATAATAATAGATATAGTTAAAGTTTGAGTTTTAGTATTAGTAGTAATAAAGTAATAGCTTTTCTTATCTTATTTCTATTACTTATATTTTCTTTCCTATTTCTTTAGCTTAATATCTACTATACTTTCCTTTAATTTTACTAAACTAGGTATATCTATTAATACTATTAAAGATAATAATAAAAATAATAAATATAATTTCATTAATTTTTCTAACTTTTCTGAATTTTCTTTTATCTCTTTACTTAGTATTTATTTATTTCTCTAGAAGCTTCTCTAGTTTATCTATATAATTTCTTATTTCCGATTTCTTTTTAATTCTTATTTCTAATTCTAGTTTACTATTTTACTTAAATTTAAGGGTATTTTCTCTTTTAAATATCTTCTCCGGACTTAGGAATAAGCTTTTTTACTAAAATTAATACTATCTTTATTCCCGTTTTTACTATAACTAAAAGTAATATATAAATTAATAATATAACTTTATTTCCGAATACTAAAGTCTATTTCTAACTAAGATCTAACTTATACTATCTTAGTATAATTTTTCTTATTCTATTTCCTTTACTTCTTTTCTTTTATAGTTAGCCTCTATTTCTACTATCCTTATATACTATACTAGTAATTATATCTTATGGCTAATCCGTATCCAAGTTACTAGATATATTAGAAATTAATATAAGATACTAAAATTAATACTTATATATCCTTAATATTTTGGTCTTAGGCTTAAAGTATTATAATAGCCCTTTTCTCTCTTAACTTACTAAGCTAATAATTCGCCTTATAAATATCTCTCAGAACTTTATAAAAGTATTACCTTAACTATAAAGTTTCTATTTTTCCTATATTACTTATTATAAAATATATAAGAGGGAAACTATAATAAGATAAAAACCCATATAAAGTATACTAGAGTATAAAACGTGACTTAATAGCAAAATAATAAATTAAAAGCACAAATAGTAAAGTATAAATAGTATATAGTATATAAAAGCTTAATTAATTAAATACTTATAAAGGATCTTTTTCTAAGTCTATAGAAAAACTAGCTTTCTTATATAATTTCTATAAGTTATATATAAAAGGCCGCGGCCTTTGCCATATAACCTA